TGCACGTGCAGCAAAACATTGAAACGTCTCTGGTAAACTAATGAATTTATAAATGGGTGAAGGCCAAGTAGAAAAGTACATTAACGCAATACACTTGATAATTACCAAAGTGCATTTATATTCACGACAATTATTTTTATAAGATCTTGAAACTCCTAGAAAGCTTTCAATGCATTCTATTCTCTTCTAATAACAAAAATATCATTGGTTTATAAATTATTGGGCTCACATGATTGTGTTGGACCATACAGCATCAATGATCTAGATTGCATCCTTTCTTAAACTTTAATTTACTTACAATCCACCTTATTTAGAATGTGGACCTCCGGAATATAAATTAATCTTTCCAAAATTTCGTTTACAATTTCATAATCATTTTTTTATTAAGCACCAAAATAATGGTGACTCTATAAAGGACTTCTTACTCATGGCTTTGGTAAACTCAATTCATTTCTCCATTTTCTGATTGCGTTGCTTGGTATAAATTATCATCCTATCTTCATGATAATTCTTAAAGATTATTCAAATATTTTCTTCTTCGTAAAATTAGGAGGGTTTGATTTACTAAGGGGATGGCTATCGACTTAGATAAGTGCAGGAGGGTCGATTAAGCATAAATCCAGCGAAATTCAAAGTCTGTCGTCGATAAATTTCATGATAAAGGACGAATATACAGATAAACTGGGAGGAGAGTGCAATTGAAGGGGCTGTAGTATCTCTGAGACACTAGAGCAACTGAACGTTTTAGTAATAGGTGTTTCAAGAACGCGACCATGACTATTAAAACACTTTGCCCTTCATAGGGACGAAGGAAATAATTGTTACGCAAAATCAAGGGCGTGAAGAATGAGATAATTGGTGATAGAAACAACGGATATAAATTAGAGAAACACACAATTCTAAATTAGAAGTAGTATTTCTTGGTGATATTAAATCATTAAAGACTGTATTCCCGAGTGCTACAACTGCACTATCCTTCCCCAAGAATCCGAAGGTGTGGGGAATAAAGTTTAACGTCGTCCAAGAATTGTTTCTTCGTGGCAGAACCGCGAAAGATAACGCATCATCCTTGTGAAAGTTTGGTAGTTTTTCACAGGTTTCTTTCTTCTATCAGCTCTATTTTACCCCCAGGAATAAAGTTCGTCCGGTATAACTTACTTGCTACATTATTTACCCAACGTAGTCTTGTTATTTATGGTCAATTATCTTTTTTATTTATCATTTGTTTTTATTTACAAAATAACTATTTTCTATAATTTATTCTAAAAAGTTTTTTATCTATAGAAAAATTATCATAATATTGAACAGTCATAAATTCAATGCTTATAATTATTGTAATAAATAAATAGAAATCTAAAATAGTACTTTTTCTAGAAGATAAATAAAAGATTTTTATTAATAAATTCATTGTGAAGGTATATAATTATTTAAATAAATAATTATTCACTTAAAATGTCCTCCAGAAAGTACTATAGCGATTCATTCATTGAAGAAATATATGTTAGCCACCTAATTGAATAGAGAAATATACGTAAGAGAGAATAGAAGATTCCAATTATGCTCTTATATCTATTAGAGGATCAATTTTCATGACAAGGGTATATTATTAAGGGTAAAATATCTAATGTCTCTTGTTAAACCCACTTCATAATGATCCAAAAAAAGGAACAACTGAACAAATGCTGCACTTCTTTCATGACAAATTTATTCGACATTTCCATTAAAAGAATCATACGAGTTAGGGTAGATTATTCTACTAAAGGAGAAAAATAAGGGTTTTGTCATATAGGAAGCTTTGAATTGGTGAAGTTTATGTGTTGATATTGCATTGACTGTTGTCACTAAACAGGCGCCAGACAAGTGTCCCATGAATGATATGAGTGGTAGAGCAACCACTCTGACGAGCTTGAAACAACCCTTCAGATATATATCTCCGTTATTTGGATTACATTGGACTACCAATAGGATAAACATAAACGTACATGAAAACGCCTCCAACATCGAGGAGAATGAGAGAGAAGGTGAAGGATGGGAGGGATAGTAGGTGGACGAGGCACGTGCGGCGAGGCATTGCGATCCGTCAGACTGAGTAAACCAAAAGCATAAATTTAATAGGTTTCACTCCCTCTTCTTTGAGCTTTATAGTGCTACCGAGTTTCTCATTAAACAAATAAGCTCAAGCTCCATTGCAGTCTTGCATCGTTTCTCTTGTTCGAACTTCCTGATCGGTGATGCTTCCATTCCTCCAATGAGTTTACATGGCTTCGAATTTCACTTTAATACGAATCTCAAATCTCAATGTTATTGGTATTTTTCCGTTTGCTTTTTTTTTTAAATGTTTACATTCTTTTTAAATACACAGCTGAATGAAATAAAATCGTTTGGAATTTTTTGAAATTGTATTCTTAATTATTTTGTAAAATTTATGTTTTTTAAATGTATTTTAATATTCACAAAAAAAAACAAATTTTATTGAATAAATGTGAATGCTTTTTTTCTGAAGAAATATTACAATCCTAAAGCTTATAAAACAGTTTCCCATTCATAATTATTAAACTCTTTATTTACTTTTTGTGTTTTATGTTGGCTTATAAAACTGATGAAATTTATAGCTTCTATAAGTTTATCAATGTATTTTAGCACCGAGTGCATGCAATGAATAATTATATGTCAATAATCGATTAAATAAAAAAAAGTTAATTTATAATTTTATTGATTTTTTCCCTGAAAAATTTTTTATCATCATTTTTTCACCATAAAATCACTGGAATTTTGGATTTTCAAGTTGGAAATATAGAGGCTAGATGCAGTATTTGGCAACGTGAAACATTGTAACTCCTGCTTGCTGATAATTAGCACATCCATCAGCTAAAGCAAGCTACTAGCTAATGCTGATCGTACGTTATCGTTATCACGTTCTCCCCATTTTGTCCCCCGCTATACCTCATCGATTCCTCTTGACCCCGCGCATCCTTCTCTATTCGAATACATATAGCATGCGTACGTGAATTCACCATCGGCCCGGCGCCGGGTTGCAGCAGCTATTCCCTTCCTATTTTCTCCTATGGCTATTCTATATCGCCAAGCAACGCATGAGCTGTCGATACCGCCAATAATCTAATAACCAGTCACCGCCAACACGTCGTCGTGAGCCATCGTTCTACAGATTTCTGGACGTTAGTCGGAAACCAATAACCCAAGCTCTTGAATTACCCTTCTGTCGTTATTTATTTTTGATTCCATATAAATGTCAGTTGATGTGTTGGCCTGATAAATAGCAGGTCGATGCGCTTTCAAAGATTGCAAGTTTTTTTTATCATAAATGCAGTCATGAAACTGCATATTGCAATCAAACAACAACTGTGATATTAACACAATTGTTGATATTTTTTTAATATTCAAATTAAATTTTTTTTATTTTAAATAGCGAAGTTTTAAAACAAAAAAATTTTTTTTTTTTTTTTTTTTTTTTTTTAAATAATATATTATTAAAGTTAGGAAGAAATTTATTTAATTCATATCAAAGTCATTTTGTTAATGGAATATTGAAGCTTCTTAGTAATTTAATATTTTTTTAAATATTAATACTTTCTAATTTATATATGAATAAATATAGCTGTTAATAATCATTTTTAAAAATATACTTAATAGGTAATTTATTTCCTTTTATTCATGATGAAATGTAATGTAAAGCAATTTAAGGAATTTCCAATTAATATTGATTAGCAAAATATAAATAAAATAAAAATGAAACAAGTTTTATAAATTGAAAAACATTCAAGTGTTCAATAATGGCTATTTTTATATTGAGAATCAAGTAATTAGTTCAAATGGATACTTGAATTACCAAGTGATCCAACCATTTTTGAATCAATCTGACTTTCTACTCCATTAAATTTTATTCTCAATTTTCCATTTTTTTCTGAAGATGTTCAGTTAAATATAAAATAAGTAATAGAGTAATTTATCTTTTTTACCATTATACTATCATCAGTAAAAACAATTTCAAAAAAAGTAATTCATCAATAATATTTTTTTGTACCTTTTAAAACCAGGTACAAGTCTAGTTTTTTTTATCAACAACAAATTATGAAATTTTATTTTACTACTCTCCAATAATTTCCATCAATAAAAAGTGCGAAAAATATGTTGCTATTAAAAGCATAGCACGTGCAAGAGCATAATGGTGATGGAAATAATTCAAATACGTATTGCAAACGGAGTGTTCTGAGGGTTGATTTCGATGAGGGTATTTGCACGATGGGGCTTGACCTGGGTGCTGATATAGAACTACTAAACAGGTCGTAGATCAGGTTGGTTAGTTATAGAGATCTGTTTATGCTGCACTGTTGCCTCCATACATACTAACGAACTCTCCCACATGCAAACACGTACCAACATACTTATTATTGCGTTACTGTACCAATTCCCAGTGGTGTTCTGGATCATTTGGTGGCCCGCGGCCGTTGGATGCAAACGTATACTAGCAACGATGGGTTATCACGCTTCACAATGTGGTATTCGATCTCTATATATCTAACTACAGATGTACCTATAGCTTCATTGCAGTGTAAAATTCATTCTATATCTCACCAGAGTCTTGTTTGAAGGAAAACAGGACTGGTCTATTTTAATTCTAGACGTTGCTATTGCGGATATCATTGTGAGACGCGAAGAGTTTTTATCCGCCGGGCGCGTGATCGTCGTGGTCGTTAAGTCGCCGAGGTTTGATTTATCTTGGGAATTCAACCATCCGTTCAACCCTTTCCGCTGCGCTTTTTTGCACCGCCGAGTATTTCTTTCATTCCAAACGACCAAGACGATAGAGCTTCGTTATGTAATTTACTTCTTGCTACAAAATGATCAGCTTTACGTTCTTTCTTGCTCCTCTTTTTTATTTATGCCGCATTAGTGAAAGAATCATTAGGCAAAAATAGTCGTATTTATTTGGTCTTTTTATCATGACAATAAATAATCGTGATGATTTTTTTATGTTTCAGGTAAGGACGATATCGCTAAGCCGCATTGGACATGGTTGCAAGGTGAGTTTTGCTTTTTACTAATAATTTTTGCATTCATTTTATATTTTAGTTGCGCTTAAATGCATAGATTTAGTTTACTTTTTCGATTATTATTTTATCTCATTTTACTGTATCTTCAAAATTTATTGGTCATCTTTTTGATATTATATCAAATGCTATAGATTATTGCTTTCTAACAATATTATTCTGCTACAAGTAGCAATATTATTATGCTAATTTATTGATTTCATCACTTTCACGTAAGGTTATTATAATCAGCAGTAAATATTTCGTATTTATTTCGACTATACTTTTGCTCAAACAAACGCTTATTCTCTACTCTCATTGCAACTTGTTAAATATATCAAATAAATGTCATTTAAAAGTTTTAATAGATGGGGTAAGTTTTAGAATAACAAACAAAATTAAAAAGTAAACCGACTATTTAATCTTCTATTCTTTTTTTACTTAAACCAACAAAAAAGGAAAAAAGTTAAAAATGTTTACTGTTTAGTTTCGTTCTTAATTATTAGTAATGATCTTGATGAGAAAATAAATGTCCATAAATGTAATAAAAGTAAAGACTTCATCATAAAAATTTCTATCTCTTCAACTTTAGATTCGATAAAAATACTTGACTTAAATGTAAAATGTTGAAGTGAGAGCTAAATGTCGGTACGAAGTGAGAGCTAAACATCTGTCCAATTGTATTGTACTCCACTCGACTGGAGAAAAACTCAAGTAGTTCGAGCTATCGCGTTTTTTTTTTCTTCTCAAAAACATTTGAAAGAATACCACGCGGAGAAGAACATTGGAACGTCGTTGCATAGGACGAAGCCTTCGGGGATGATCAATAAATATTGGCTATCGAAGGGAGGAGAGAGCAGCGACGATCCGAGGCTAGGGAATTGGAGTCGTAGCTGGAGCTCACCCATTTTCCACCCCTTTGTGGCAACCGACAGAACGAGTGAGAGGACAGTCGTGCTGCGGTTGCCGCCCCCTTTTCTACGGGTGAGAGTGCGCGACGTATGGCAGATATAACCACCCATCGCGATATAGGCAATCGAAAAACGTTCGACGTAATTTCGCTTTGTGACCTCTGATCGATATTCTCTTCATCCCTTTTCTTTCCGTCCTTCCTCATGTTCTATTTGTCTCTTACTCTATAGATGGCTTTTAAAAGTATATCGAACCAAACCAATCTAAAAATTGTGGAAAAGGCATTTGGGGTAGAAGAGTATCCTCACGATTTACGAGACAAGTGCCGTTGGGACTACCGTAAAAATCGGAATGAACGACACTTTGACGTACGTTTCTCGTTTTCCTTTCTATGAGGGTTGAAATCGCGATACAATTTTTTCTTTGAGAATCACATACGTTTCTCTCGAATTAGTTTGAATCGGATTTTCTTCATTAATTATTTTCTAAAGTCTATGATAAATGAGAGTATTTATTAAATTATGAATATTCAGATATTTATTATGCTATTATATTTTTATGCTGTCACTGAAAGATACATTCTCACGAGGTAATTTATTCGATTTTTCTGTTAGGAATCAAAATAAATTATTTAGGTAATGGTATTGGTAGTTTTCACAGTGTATAAATATTTTTAGAGACTCGGAATATTAATATTAATTTCATAGAAGTGCTTTATGTCTGACGAATTCAATTATTTATCTTCAGATCTTGTAACTCTCCACATAAAATCCATTCTGAAATCTCTGTTGTACAAATTTTTTAATAAATTACGTGTTAGCTTTTACCCCAATGGTCAATCCAATGACCTCAGCTTCCCTTTTATATCGTCATTCTTACTAATTGTGATCAGAGAAAATAAAAATAATCTCTTTCTTTATCATTATTGAGCAACAATAAAATAAAATATTTTTATTATCAAAGTAAACAGATTTCGCTAATATCAATCAGTAAAGCTGAAAAGATATTTGTTAATAAAAATACGAATTAATCTTTTTTAAAATTCATAAACGTCATCTGTTTATTTGTGTACATAAAAATGTAGAGTTAAAGTGGAATGGAATGTTTCTCACCATTTATATACTTGTAAATTTTACGATGGAAATATAATATAGGAGATACTTTTTTCGTGGTGGTATTTCTTTCACTTCTTCACTCATGCATATAAGTGAATAAATAGAAAGCAGACTTTTATGAGGAGGATAGAGAGGGTGATTCGCGAATAGATTTGGTTAAAATTCGAATGAGATAAAAGCGAAGTTGAATGCTTCTTGAGGCGTTAAATGGCTGCGTTTACCGTTTACGTATATCCTTCTGTTGCGCGTTAGAGGGTAGCTAAAGAGAAATGAGCTTGATAGAAAGCAGGGAAGCAAGAAGAAGAAGAGAAAAGAGAGGAAACTCGTCCATTTTCCACTACTACAAAACGCGTAGGTAATATCGCTTCGGATCTCACGTTGGAGCTCGCGAAGATCACACTGAACCTGGTATAAGATAAAAGTTATGCTGTTCGCTATGCGCAAGGGAGTCGTACATCTGCCGTTGGACGTCGGCGGGGGACGTGAAAGTGAACAGAATCCATCCACCCTCTTTTCTACTTCATCCCGTCCACCCAAATCAACCCTCCCCTTAGTATTCGTATCTTGCTATATCTCCAAGCTCCAGCCACGCTGTCTCTTATCCTCTATTTTCTCTTCCTCTCTTTACTTTCCGCATCGTAAATACATCTAAGCTACAATATATCATTGAACGCGCGCGCCCTACATGCGCAAGAATTCTCAGCACTGAGACTACCTCCGAAGAAATACGTCAAGGGATAGGAGTGTGTATATAAGAACCCAATACAATACATTGGGGTGTGGTCGACTTACCAAATTATAATTTAAGTGACATTCATAAGGTGCAAATAATATGTCACAAAGAGTCTGCATTAAAATATAATTGGAATAAAAAGTATCGTGTCAACTATAAACATTTGTGAGGGTGGAAATATAAAGGCCTAATAAATCGTGGAATTATTTTCACAAACTCCGTACAATGTACAGTAATTATTTTTGGATAAAGAAGACTTATTAAATTTTAACAAATTACACAGAAGCTAGTCATAAATAAGAATATTGTATTTAAAGTACTTTCAATTAAGATAATATCAATAATGGATATTTTTTTAACGATAATTGTACTTGAAAAAATTATCATAAGAAGAATATATTTTTTCGTTGATATTATAAAAATGTTGTATTAAGGAAATAACTTTTTTTTTCATGTGAGATAAAATGTGTTGAATCAATCAGTTTCCAGAAATCATCAAAAGAAACTCCATTATTTCAAATAGAGTTCCGATGTTAGGGTAAAGTATGAAGAGTATCATGTGGAATGAGCAGATTTCCGGGTAGATTTTCTTAGCTAAAAAAGTTTGGGGGTAAACCACGTTTTTTCATTTACCATCATTCCCTCACTAGTCCTCAGCTGAATTACAGTAGTCGGAAAGAAGAAAAATTCTTTTACTTAAATTTGCATATAGATGTGAAAAGAGGATGCGATGAAAAAAAGATATCAAAAAATGGTTCATGGAGATTGAGAATAAAATAGATGTATTTTTTTTTTAAATTAACTACAGGGTTGTTTTCAACGAGCCTATATATTTTGGGTCTATAAAAATACATTTTGATTGAAATGTCGTTTTATATTCCTCAATCATACTCATGGGGGATTCTTTCATTATTTTTACATTTTTTTGGTTTACTTGATGAATCGTAAGGGTTGTAGTTGCTGGGCGAAACGAAGCGCGTTATGAACGGACACATAAACATCCCTCGACGTTATCAGTTGTCGGACGCCGGAGCACCGGATATTGTCGCATCCTCTGTTTTGCTCTCGTTGCATGGGAGAAGAGGGATAGAAGATTAGAGAAATAGAGAAGTGTGGGATGAGCTAGTGTAGATCATCCCTTCGAAAAGCTTATTTGAATCTATAGATTGCAATTTACTACATACTACCTCCAAAATTGTCATCTTTTTATCAACTAAACTCAAACTTTCGGTCACTTTTACTTTTTTTTCACCACTAAAAAATTTAAAACTCAACCATTCTTTTTTGTTGATTTATTACTCTAGATATTGGAATTTACAAACAGGAAGAACTTTTAGACCTGAGAAAAGTTAAACTGTATGTCTATAAAAGTCAGCCACAATCATTTAATAAATGTCAAAAAGTCAAATTTTTACTTTTGACTTTTATTCTTTTCTGTTGACTTTGACGATTTTTTTTTATTTTTATTGGGTCTTAATAGGCGCATAATAAAACACAGTATCGTAAATCTTTTAAAAGTAGGCTTCAATTAGAACAGACGCCAGCGTATACTGACCAGGTTCAACCGTCCAGTATTACAATAGGTTACTGCTTTTGCCATGCTTTTACTTTTTTATGAGTTTTTTAGTACGATGTGTTCGCATCCCTTGGAACTTTCTTTTTTTGTGACATTATAAAGAAGTACGTGAAATACGTGTGCACCGTTGGGGTTGTAAAATAAAATCGGAATTTTTGTCTTTGAACATGGAAGTGAAAGTTTTTAGATATTTTTTAGACTTTTTTAGTTTTTTTTTTTTAAGAAAACAACAGCTGAAGAGAAAATGGTCTATCTTTAAATCCGTCGGTGAAAGTTGCATTGTGCTGAGTGAAAAGAATAATTTTCCTGCGGAAAAAATTGTTGGAAGAATTTTTGACATTTTTTACTTGGACTTGAGTTAGTTAAGTACTCAGGAAAAGCTTTCGCCCTTTTTTATCACTCATAAATAAAATTCTTATATTTTTTTTAACATTAATAAACTTTCTTACAACTATTATCTACCAGTAAAGTGTAAAAAACAAATTTTTAACTTGGAAATAAATAAAATTATAATTAATTCATTCATTATAAATCCATACATACTTTTTTTTTCTTACAAACATTATTTTCATTTATTTAAATTCAATAAAAATTTGAAAAATGTAAAGCATTGCTTAACAACCATTCTAAAAGTTGATGTAACTGATAAAAAAAAATC